GTGAGGTCTATGGGTAAGCCTTCACATGCAATTTCTTGTCAGCGTTGATCCCCGTGGTGGATTTGCTGAGAAACGGCGAATGCGGGGCCTGGCCCTGTGCAGAACCGGCGACCGGCGTTGCGGTGCTCCTCTCCCTTACCCGCCCGTGTCACTGCGGCACCTTCGGCAGCTCCCAGTTCCCGCCTGGCAACAGCCACCCAATGCGGGCTTGGCTTAGAAGTGATTCAGCACAAACAAACTCTACGTTCGTGGGGCGGGGGGCGGGGGGGGGGTGTTGTTTCTAACCCCAACGGTAGGCACGAGCGTTGCTCCAAAATACCAGCTGGCAAGGTGTGAGATGCCGTCTGGCAGCTGAGTGCTCCCGCTCGTGCACGCGCTGCGTCGGCTGTGTGAAGCGTGAGAAAAGCCTGCGTAAAACTCCGTCAATCTTGGAAGCACTCTGTTTATATTCTCCTCGTGTCTCATTAGTGCAGAAACTTGCTTTCGCATGAGCATTACCACCAAAATAACCGCCTAATATAATTAAAGCTCCTAGCTCTTTAAATGTGATGGGGGATTAAAAAAAGGCCTCACATCTTCATGAATTAAAAGCTTGTGTGGCTGCACGGTCTCATTGAATCTGTCTCCTCACTCCCTTCAGAAACATCGCGGTGCTGGTCCAAGAGGCTTTGGACACACGTCAACCAAGCATTCGCCCCCGGCGGCACATTCCGCAGGCTTTGTAACTGCTGCGCTGGCCCTAATGTTTTATGCAGTGCAGGTCCAGAAGAAACTTTGTAAGAGAAGTCTAAAAGAATTTAGATGGAGTGACTGACCTCGAGTACAGTCGCTCTGAAGTTATTGACAGTTCGTTCCCGTGAACGCTGCCATGCAGACATAGTAAATTATTTTCTTTCCTCCAAAAAGTCAATGAACTGTTACAAAATTTACTCAGTGTTCCACCATTTGTAGTAATTTTGCTGTGATACTCCCAGGGAAATATTTCTGTTTATGTCTGTGTAATAAGAATGGAAAGAAAATACGCTTTTCTTAACAAGACATGGATGCAAATCCTACTTAGGGTGGTTTTCATATTTGCAGCGTTGGGAGGTTTGGCTCTGATGAAAATCATGTGTGTAGTTAGTTGTTTTACACACTGCGAGTCTCAGATGACTGGAATTAATGTTCTTCCAATTTAACAAGGTTATCCATTTAATAAAGTGGAGAGATGAGTCAGAGCACAACCCTAGATCCCAGCTCTCATGAATTTAACAAGTAAGGACAGTCTGAATCTGACCCTTCCACTCTGAAAAGCCAATCCCAACCGAACAAGTACATGCAATTAAAATTTTTCATTCTCTTCAAGTTTTGAATATTAGAATCGGAACAAACAACCTTAGCGGTGTGACACTGGACCTTTCATTTGAGAAGTTGTTAAATTTAGGTCTAATTTTTACTCCTCTGAGAAAAGAAGATGCTGAGAGGGTGTAAATTATACTTAAGAGTCAGGCCATTTTTTACTGCACAGAAATGGAGAGGTGCCTGAGGGAGCCTGGCATTCACCGAAATCTGATTCATTCAGCAGTCGCCTTAATTAGCTCCTAAATGTGCACATTGTCTGTGCAAATGGAAGGGGGGGTCACTTCTGCGATTGGGGCGAATCTGGGGAACCTCTGTGGGAGGTCACGGGTACTCCTCGCGATGACAGTGTGCCGTGTCTCTGCGCGCAGGCAACCGGACAAGCTGCTAAATCGGCAAGGACAGTTGTCGTCGCTGGTATTCCAGATGGCCTTCTGCAGGATGATGTCATGACTGACATACTGATGATTCATTTCCAAATGTCGAAGAATAATGGGGGAGATGTGGAAGAAGTCATGTATCCGACAGCAAAAAAAGGAGTTGCGTATGTAACTTTTGAAGATCAAGAAGGTATTTAGATTAACATATTTAAATACATCCATCCCCCAAAGGATTAGCCCTAGAATGTTAACCCTAAACCAAATTATTTTAAGTTGTTTATTGGTACTAGGATTTTATAGAACTGGGAGACTAACACCTCTCTTTTAGTCAGTCAGAGTTTTAGGATTTTATTTCTGTTCAGTGAAGACGTGACTCTGAACAGGCTTTGTGCAAGATGTTTGTTTTGTTTGTTTTTAGGAATAAATTTATACCATGCATAACAGATAAACGATTTTTGTAGTCAGGCCTTTGAGGAATAAATCGCTGCCAGTTAGTGTTCTAAGAAGACAGGCTTCTGTCTCTCTCTGAACAATTTTGACTAACACATGAAACATTAGGCAAGAGTATTGAATCGCCCGCATGTATGTATGAGAAATTGTTAGGGAAAGCACCAAGAGAAACACACCCGTGAAGTGTTCCACCATCAGACGGGCAACGACACATAATCTTACTGCGCAACAACTGAATCTGGCTTTCTCTTTAGTTGTAGAGAGCGTTCTAAAGAAGGATGAACATCGACTGGAAGACAGGAGGTTGTCCAGATGCTATCCGCTGAAAGTAACCCATTACTGTGAAAATGTAAGCTCATTCGTAATTTACCTAGTTGTACTTCCATTGCTATGTTAACCGTTACTTAACTTCTCTAATTCAAAATTCTAGGTCTTCACCTCTGTCACATCTGTCCTCAATATGTCTATTTTCAAAGACCAATTTGTTCTAGAAGATCTGATACAAGAATTTAAAAAGAAGAGCACAGCTTTGAGCTTTGGTCCTTTGCAATCCAATGGGCATATTTCTGTTCAAGGGTCATTTCCAGCAATCAAATTGCTGAGAGACTTTCTCTTACTAAAAGCAAAATCCCTTTCAGAGAAGGACAACAGAGAAGAAAGTAAGTTCCATCGGAGACCAAGGAGGAGGCTGCAGCAACACGGACTTACCACGGAGACGAGTGATTTTGTTCGTGATGCAGATGGGGAAAAACAAGCAGTTGTTCTTGACACAGATATATATTGCTACATGAAGCGCTTTTTCCCCAGGACATTCCTAGTAAATGATGTTGTAATTTCTCCCATCACTGATGGTGATATAACTACAGTATACATTAAGAATGCTGGAAGTAGGTCTGATGCTGGACAGGTATTAAGAATCAAAGAGAAAATTGAAAATCAGTCTATAAAACTCCATAACACTTTACGTAAAAGACGGATCTACTTTGAAGAGCACATAAGAGATCAAAAGCAGAGATATGGACAGGTGTGCAAAAGTCTAAAAGCCCGTTACCCGCATGTTTTGGTCATTCTTTGTGATACTCACGCTGATGTTATAGGAAATTCTTCTGAGATTTTTGAATTTACAAAGGAGGTGAGCACTAAGATTCAGAGCCTGTTTGACACCAGGTAGAAAGTTAGCGTTCATGTTTTTCACACATCCTGCTTCTCACACAGACTGTACTGGTGCAACCTGTGCACCCCTGTGTCACTGCAGATCTCTCACCTGCCTCCCACTCACAGGCTGGGAAGTCTGCACATGGGGGTGAACAAGCCCATTCCCCTGCAAATACCAAATTAAGTTCAGAACAGGAAAGAAATGATCTATCTCTCATGAGCTTAGAGACTGAAGAAGTTAGGCCTCCTCTGTCCAGGAGGACAGCCTCCATGTAGCCACCATTTTCCTTTTGTTAGCTGCGTTCTGGGCACATGCACACTCATTCTGTCTTGCTGTCAGGGAGCACGTGATGAGAAAAGAGAAATTTTTAAAGAGTTCTCATTAGCATAAGAAGTCAGACTGACAAAGCTGGGCAAGCCAGCCTGATATGAAATACTGCGTTGAAGTTAGGTTTCTTTGCGCAAGGAGATGACCACTGAAAACAGGAATGGTGGCCTTTTTCTGTTGCCTTTTTCTGCAGAAGGAAATCATTGAGATGCATGAAGAAGGTAGAGCTTTGACCCTTGAGGGGGTGGAATGCTTACTAAATTTACAGGCTTGTCATGTCCTGAGAAAGACCTTAGAAGATGGCATTGGAAGTTCTTGACAGTAGAAAATAAGCAAGTTTGTTTTCATAGGACCAATAATGGTTTTTTTTCCCAGCTGTAACGGCATCTGCAGCATCCCTTTGCAGTGTGTTATTTAGACATGAAAGCATATGCAAAGTTTTGATGTGAGAATCTTGGGGCATTTAGACTCTTGATTCAGATTCTGTTTATGGAAATCTGTTTCTATATCCATTACAAGGGACCAAATGCCCATCCTCATTTAGGCTTTTTTATAAAACCTGTTTAGAAAATACCTTTTATTTTGTGATATCAGTGTGTTCAGAATACTTTGTCAAAACATACAGAGCACCGGCTGTTTTGTCTTATGTGCAGGAAAAATTTTAAGGTTTTGTGCCATTAAAGAAATTAGTTATATAAAATATTGTCCATGTTCTTTTAACCAACCCCCAGACTTTGGGCTGGAAGACCAAACCTAAAGCCTAATCTTGTCAGGACTGATTATCCATTGCAATTATGCCAATGAAAGATAAAGATGTTAAACTAGTGCCAATGCTGTGTACTAAAATACACTGTCAAAGTGGGAAGATGATGAGCTTAAGTACTTTGCTGAATTGGAACGGGGCAGGGGAGTAGTATTAAGTATACAAGTATTTAAATATATAAGACCTGGAGCACAGGGCTGATGGGGAGCGGCTGAGGGAGCTGGGGGTGTTCAGCCTGGAGAAGAGGAGGCTGAGGGGAGACCTGATCGCTCTGCAGCTCCTGGCAGGAGGGGGCAGGGAGGGGGTGCTGGGCTCTGCTCCCAAGGAACAGCGATGGGACGGGAGGAAATGGGCTCAAGCTGCGCCAGGGGAGGTTTAGATTGGATATTAGGAGAAATTTCTTTACAGAAAGGGTGGCCAAGCATCGGAACAGGCTGCCCAGAGAGGTGGGGGAGTCCCCATCCCTGGAGGGGTTCAAAAAACGGGCAGAGGTGGCACTTGGGGACATGGTTTAGTGGGCATGGGGGTGTTGGGTTGATGGTTGGACTGATGATCTTAGAGGGCCTTTCCAGTCCTAATGATTCTGTTCTAGTTTTACTTTCATTAAAAACTAATCCAGCCACCAAGCTGGGAAACATGAAATTGCTACTCTGCCCTTAATTGGTTTAGTGGTGGACTTGGTAGTGTAGGTGAATGGTTGGACTGGATGATCTTCAAGGTCTTTTCCAACCTAAACGATTCAGTGATTCTATGATTTAAAGGCTTAAGCTCTTCCAAGGTCCCCTGTAGCCGGTAGATTCACCAAGGGGGTCGGAGATGGGGCTGAGCACGGGTGCGCAGAGTCAGGCCCTGGAAGTCCCCCTCTTCTGCTCCCCACGGAGCGCAGGCAGCCCTCCGGTGCTGGGCTGCTTTGGGGACTCCCCATAGAGCTTAAGCGAAGATGGGAAGTTTTTCAACCTTGTAAAAGAGAAAATCCTCTATGAGGGATAATCCTTTAATGAAATTAGTGCTCTTTACTAGCGACCGGATTGGTCTTCCCGTCTTTTTTGAAGAGCCTCAGTTTTTTCTGATTCATAGCATTAGTATTTCCTATTTACTTCAATAAACTTTTAGGGCTAGGCTGGTAAACCAGTGGCACTGGTGTCCGTTTGAATCCTGACTGGTTACTACTGGCTGAGCGTTGCTTTTTGAACCAAATTTGACAACAGAACGGTTTGCAGCACTGGTACAGGTGTCACTCAGGTGTCATTCAGGTCTCGTTGCTTGGCAAGCAAGTTGTTTTTACTGAACGATTCTCAGTCGAAAACTGAAAACCTTGAAAACGTCATGGTTGAGTAAAATTTTATTGTTGAATCCGGGTTCAGTTGTAACAGCTCCTCTTCAGATTCGCTCGTCAAACGCCCCTTCGCCACCGTGCAGTTTCTCACCCAGCAGCCAGCATTGTCTCATTGTTTCCCGGTGTTCTCCCATCTGCTCTCTCTGGATGTCATTTCTTTAGACAAGAAGAGCTTTGTGTTGGTTGTTTTGTGTTTAGGGAGTGCCTAGTAAATAGGGATCTGGATCCAGGGCAGATGAGTAAATAGTAGCTATTGTTACGCTCCAGGCTTTCTGGGGCTAGTTTTTTTTGGATTTGCAGCAGTTTGGCCAGGAACACCCCACCTTTGTCACCTTTGATGGCTCCGTGTAGCTGTGGAAGGGCAGGGCAGCACAGGGTCTTTACGGGTGATAGTAGAGAGGCTGTGGCATGCACGGCCTGTGACTGACTGAGCTACTCTTAACCCCACAGAGGAACCTGCTTTCTATAACAGGAAAAAAAGCTGTGATCCACCAGATAGACTAGTGTTTGCTGTAAAATATAAACAGCATTTCAAGAGAGTAACATCATAACACGTATTTGTTCCTTCCTTCACAATGCAGATACCATAGAAAACAATAGATGTTTAGCAAAAAAAGTCTGTTTGTTTCATTACCATGAATACTTAAATACAACAAAACAAATCGGTATCAGGTCTGGTAAGAGACTTGCCAGCTCTCATTCTCACAGGTATTTTTGTGGCAAGGAAGGCACTGCTGTATCTATTAAACTCCAAATTTTGACTTACGGCACAACGCCTACTGACAAAGCCTAAAAAATAATTTTAAAAAGGTCACAAATAGCAGCAGAAGCTGAGCCCGGTTCCTGGCAGCACGCCACTACGGTCAGTGGGGTAAGCACCATTTTCCGTCGCCTGAAAACCTGAGGATTCGAGAGACAATTCGACATCCCTTAGCAGGAAAATAATACACAGTTTGAAGGTAAAAGCAATCTCCTCGTTGACGGGAGGGGATGGAGGAAGGTGGAGGGAGGGAGAATGGTTTGCTGGAGTCCTTTCGCCATCCCTGGGCACAAAGCGCTGCTCTGGCGTGGCAAAGGGAGGACAAAGCCTCCTTTGCTCCCCATTGTACCTGTGCATCTCATTATGTGGTGTAAAAGATGTATTCAATTCCTGCAGGAAGGAGGTTGTTCCATTAGGAAAAAAAGCCCTTCCTTCAGGTTTAATTGTTGTCATCAAAACTGCCTCTGCCACCTTTGAGTTGCATTGAAAACTTTCTCTGTGCATTTGTTAAAAAAGCAGAAAATGACAAAAGACCTGTCAGGTCTCCTGAAAGACTGCAATGCCAGAGTGACATTTTCTTAAGGAAGAAGCACTTGCTACTTTTGGGAGCCATGTGTCTTTCTTAAACATTAAAAAAAAAAAAAAAAAAAGGTAGGAAAAATAAATAGCGCTGCTAGCAAATAACTCATTCTTTAAGACAGCTTTTAGGCTTATGTCTTCATCCGGCCACACTGGAGACTCAGAAGCATAAAACCCAGATGAAGCCAAACAGTCATCAGCCGAGGGCGAGCTCAGGGTGGCCGGTGAGTCAGTACCTGCAGCCCACTGGGGTCGGATGGGGACGTATTCCCACCAGGAGAGAGGAGATGACCTTAGCAGCCCGTGTATCCGGAGGAGCAGCGCTCTCACTTGGCTGCGGTTGGGCTCTCAGGAGGCTCCCGTAAACAAACACACGCGTTCCTGTTTTGTTGCACATCTTGTGCAAGAGAAAAGCAGCTGTAGAGCAGGGCCAAGCTAATGCTGGGGAAATTCCCTCTCCGCTGCACAACATTTCTGCGGTGACTTCTTCCCTCGCATTTAGCGTGGCTGGTGGTGTTTATAGGATACATGGCTTCTATCCAATTTAATTCAAAATATCTCATTTCTTGTCCTGTGGGCTTCTACCCCTCAATGGGCCGCGGTTACTGATGAAGGGACCGTTTCCATCCCTCTCTTTTAAACTAAGGGCGCAGTGAAATCCCATGTAGATACTTCACCATTTTCACCTACCATTAGAGGATGGGAGTCTTCCCTGATTTCTGCAGCAGGCTGCCTGAAGATAACCAGACAACTGGGCTAAGAGAAAAAAAAAATTAATTATTAAAATTAAGTATGATTAAAAAACCACCCCAAACCCCCAGAAAAATCGAGTCAAAACTGCACAATTCAGAATTGACAGAGCCCGGTCTGGTTTTACTTACTTTTTCCTTAGCTGTAGAGGGTTGCAGAACATCTGCTGGAAAACAAGTCCCTTTTTTCTGCTTCGCCTAACACAGCTTTCCTTTGTCTCCTAACACTCATTAATGACCTTTAAAGAAATCTCCTAAAAGTGACTCAGTTAAGAAGAAATACTACCTCTCATGGCAGCAGCCGGGGCTGCTGGAGCATTGCCTTAAAGCCCTTCT